TTCACTTGTAAGTGAGAGGTCTTAGGTTTAATTCTCACCAAATACGAATTTGAACTACATTATTGCTAGCTCATTGTGAAGCTAAGTCCATCCTCTTTATCTTAGTGTAGATAATATCGTTTATTTGAAGAAGTAAAAATGAGTAATTTAGGATCAGTTAATTAGGATAAAATACACCTACAGTTATGCTAACATATATAACATCACTCTTACTAAGCGTGTAAAGTGCTGCAGCAATGCGGTTGAAGACTTCCATATCGTTACATTCATGAAAACGCATGGTACCTTTGTCTCTGTGAAACGTTTTCCTGGTTATGATTTTACATGTATCATTTGCCCTATAGGTATATCACATGGATATTTTGACATATACATCTAACGTACATCAGCACACTGAACCCCTCACATCACATCACATGTACTAGAAAAAACCGAACGTTATAGATCCATAGTCGACCAAAGTTATGGGAATTTGGAGTTCTTCTCTCCGAATGATAGTTCTCTCCTAGTGAGAGTCTTTCTCACCTTCTGGTGTGAGTCTTCAAAAATCAAGAAAACCCAATGGTGCCGGTCCTAGCTGTGGCTGGGGTTGGTTGTTGCCGTTTCCTTCCTTCTTTATTTCTCTTGTCTATTTTTTGTTTCTACTGCTCTCTTCCCCTGCTTTCAACCTTGATTTAGTCTATCCCTCTTGCCCAGTTGGTCTTCTCTGTTCTTCTGTATTCCGGTTTTCAACCATGAATATTATGGAGATCGTGTGTCGAGCTCCGACGTTCTCACCAGCTGGGGTGTTTCTAACACCACCACCTTCTCCGGCTTATCTGCCTTTTTCGGCAGCGTTGTTCGTGGGTTTTCACGGACTTCATCCTTTTAGCTAGCTTCTATTGTGTTGTTGTTGGCTATGCTCGTGTAGCAAATCGGGGTAGGAAGCTGCGTCTGAAGAGGAGATACTCAGCTAGGGATGAGGACTTGGATAGATCGAGGTTGCTGCGGTGGTGACAGTTGCAGTGGATGCTTCTAGCGTTTGTAAATCTCTGTGTGTTTGGGCTGCAACAGTTGGTTGGCCCTATCGTTCTTTGTTTTGTCTTGGCTCACTTTTTGCTTGTCCATGTGTTAGTTTTTGGGCCTTTTGTTGTATGTTTGTTTAGTTTTGGTTTGCAATAAAAGTTGCACTTTGACAAAAAATGTCACAGCCCGTCCAAAATATATTTTTATCAACGGCGTGAATTGACGAAAATACCCTTGAACGTTAGTTGTGTAATGTGGTTTAAGGGTAGCTTTGGGTTAATATTCTTAAAATCCTAATGGTTTGGAACCAATTAGGATTAAGTTATGTGCTTTTTGGTGGTTGACCAATCCTAGGCCACACACACACTCTCTCTTCTCTCTTCTGTGTCCTCTCACTTTCACTTTCTCTCTTCCCTCTTACGTACGGACAAGGGCAAGAACACCCCAAACCTTACAAATCGAGGTTGAAAATGGTACCATTGTGTTCCTAAGGTCCTCGCGAGTTCAAAGGTACCAAATATAGGTAAGGTTACCTTCGATTTCACGTGGAATCACAAAGTCCGATTCCATGCACTGTTCATGCAACTTTTATTCTTCGATTTTCAGGGAATTCTAAGCACATAGAAGGCTTAAGGAGGTCCTCACGAGCCTTGGGGTAGTTCGTTGGAAGAGTTTGGACGTTGGAGGGCCGAGATTGAAGCTTTTCAAGTCGACCGGATTATCGAGCTTCCTCAGGTAGATTCTAGTGGAATTCAAGGCTTAAAAGTAGTATAACGTGATTCTAAATGTTATTAGCTTCATTTTGGTACCAATTGCATGAAAAATGGTGAAGAAACGAAAGAGAATAGTGAATTTGAAGTTTTGCCTAGTTTCTGGCGTCGGCAACGGTCGCCGGAGCTGGAGGTAGGAGATGAAGGAATATTTGGTCAAGTATGGCGGAATATTCTCACGCCGTCAGTCAAATGTGACGGAATCTGTTAGGTTTAACGGAATATTCCCTAACGGTGGTTAAGGAATCCGTCAGGTTTGCAGTGCTCTTGCCGGCGCATGGAAGGTCCAAAAATATTTCTAAAAATATGGGGATGATCCTAAGGTTGTGTAGATCACTGAGGTATATTCATATACCTATTTTGAGCAATGTATGAAAAGTTATTAGCTAGTATTGCCTATGTGCTTTAAAAATAACGTTTTTATAGTTAATTCGCATATAGGTGAGGCTTATCCTGAGGACAAGCGTATCCACGGGCGACTCGGGGGCTACGACCCTTCGACATATCAGTGAGTGGGCTTTTGTTTTTAGTATATATTTATATACTTGATATATTTCCCAAAAATGCATTTTAAAGAAAGTATGCTTTGAAATAATATGCCAAATGCTTCTATATTTTGAATATGCATTTCATGGTTGCATATATACATATATATATATATATATATGTGGTGTTGTGGAGGCACAAGTGAGTTCAGGTAAGTTATGTTTGGTTATGTGAATCATCGATGATGTGATATGTGATATGTGATTAAGTAATGTTGAGCTCATAAAGCTACACTTAGGGTGATTGTGAATTAGCCAGAGATATGAAGTACATGCCTGTTTATTTACGTCACCTCCTGCACTATACGCTCATATTGGATCCAACTTAAGTGCACAATCTTGCCATACAGACCTTATTATGGTTCCGACTCGTAGGTGACCAGCGATTTATCGCCCGGCTACTATGAAAGAATAGAATTGAGCATAATTATATTTCACTCAATCTTGTTGTACAGGCCCCTTTCAGTGGTTCCAACTTATGTGCAATATATTGCCGTATAGGTCATAGTAGTGACTCCGACTAGATTGAGTTTGAGCTATGAATTCAGCCGTACAAACTCCCACAGGAGTTCCGGCTAACATATCACAATTCTATGAAATTATTCTTACCTGAATTGTTGACTCTATTATATCTTGGCATGGCATTTATACCTATGAATATGATTATGTGAAGCATGAACTGAATTGATATGGTTTCATATATATATATATATATATATATATATGTATATGCTTATATCTTGATTCTGGGAAAATTATACATGTTTTACAGCGAGGGGTTAATATATTGATAAATGAAATGATTTTGTAAAACATTTGTTTTTGCCCACTCACATTTTCTGTTTTGCGCCCCTCTAGGTTTTAAGTAAGTTGTTGTTGGGGGCTCAAAGACGTTGGCTGTTCTGACTATTCTATATTCTAGTAGGACATTCCTGGTACTGTGTAACTAGTACTTGTCCTACTGGACTGCACCTAGACTTATTATGCTCTGATTAGGAGAGTTTACGGTTGTAACTAACTCCTATCATTTCTTATTAGTAGTGTACTCTCTAAATGTGGTTAATTATTCGTATATTTGCTATCTTTATCGCTTCCGCACTGTGCACATGGCTACGTCACTCTCACGTGACGGCCAGCATGCCTTGGCCTTGGTCGGGGTGTGTCAAAAAAAAAAAATTATGGGAATTTGATCCGGTTTGAACTTAGTGTATGGAACTTATGAATCAACATATTTGAACTACAAATTAAATTCGATGGTTTTTATAAATTCATTTCGATGATCCATCACGCACAAACCAACATCTCTGATTTCTTATACACACCAATCAGTAATTTAGATGTTTTATTTATTTATTTTAAGTCTAAAGGTGTTGATTCTTAAGTTCCAGACACTAATGTAAACGGATCCAAATTTCTAAGTTAAGGAACACTGCCTGTCACGAAACTTAATTGACCCGTTCTCTTTTTTGATCATCAATCCAAGCTTTTGTTCGAATAATCGAAACTGTTCAATTTATTAATTTTCATTTAAAGACCACTGCTACAAGAAATCATTCAAATTGGAGATCATTTAATCATTCAAAAATATCAAATAAATAGATGGTTCATCATGAATATATTACTTGGTATTTACACCATTAATTTGTTCTATATATTTGAATAACTAATGATCTCTGATTGAAACGATCCTTGGTAAGAATGATCTTCAAAACGAAAATTAAGAATTTGAATGGCTCTGATTATGAAATTGTAAGGTCAAGATACCTTATTCGCAAGGAAGAATTAGCTCAACCCCAAGAAATAAATACATGTATTATCCATAAAATAAAAATAAGTGGGAATTCCTTCTCTTAAAGAACTTGTATTATATAAGCGTGTACATCAATAAACCAAAAACGATACGATACGAAACCTCACCAATTTGGAAAACAAATGGAAATGCATGCTAACCTATATATTTTTTTTTGTTGTGGTGTAACTTTGTGTCTATATAGGTGGAGAATGGAAGGAGGGAGATCAATTTGAAAAATCTCAAATAAACTTTGTAAGTCTGGCATTGTATTTTAATTATTTAAACTGTTTATATTTTAGGCAATTTTTTTTATAAAAAAAATATTCAAATCCAAAATTGTTAACAACTCAATTATATGGGGATCGTTTTAGTGTTTTCTTAAAAACACTTTTTTTATTCTTTTGGCTACAACTAGATATCTTTCTAAAAAGTACACTTGAAAGGATCAAAATCAATATACAATTGAACCCTTTTATTTATTTATCTTACTCGATTCATAACTTCCTATTCCAAATAAATAATGATTCCATAAGAGATGGGGAAAAGTTGATAGGGAATTAGGATTTAGTATAAATAAATGTAGAGGTCGGTTATCTCTACAAATAAAAAACCACCCGCAACTCACAACGCCAAAAAAACCTAGCTCTAATAACACTGTTAAACTTTCTAAAATCTTAATTATTTAGAGTAATTTAATACTGCAGTCTAGTATTATTCATGTCCATCTGTAAGTGAAAGATTTTAAGTTTGTTTTTCGTCAAGTACGAATTTAAACCAAATTCATTACGACTAAATTTACTTTTACTCTTCTACATTTATAGACTTTATTATCGTTTGCTGAAAAGACAATTACTTTAGAAAACAAAAACCCTTGTCTGTTTCTTTTACTCTGCCGCGTTGCCAACTCGAAGAGGGAAAAGAGTTTGATGAAAACTAGAAGGAGCTCCGACTCTGAGTCGAAAAACCCTCTCCTGTCTCTCAACATCTGGCATCATTCTTCCCAAGTAAAGAATAAATAGTCACCGTGTTCAACCCGATACCATTGTCCTTTTATATACATATCATTTTCCTCTCTCCTCTTTTCTGTGTTGAGATGGTCAACATGCAAGTGCATCACCAACTGTACTGAATTCCATATATTCCGCGTTCTTTTTTGGTAAAAATCCACCTTTTTTCTGCCCAATTTCTCCTTTATTTTGAATTTTCTGAGCTCTTTCTTGGGTACCCAATACGCAGTTGGGTCGGTGAGAAAACGATTCAAATCGATGAAGAACGATGAGCAAGCTCGGTTCCTTTTTGGGATTTCGCTCTCTGACAGACCCAAATGGCAGCAATTCCTCCTCTGCTCTTCTGGGTTCTTCTTTGGTTACCTTGTTAATGGTGTCTGCGAGGTATTTTCTTTCACTCTGTTTTATATGTTGTTATTGTAAGGGAAAAATTCGGCGCCTGTTTGGTTGCCGAGAAACTGAGCCTGGAAATAAGGGAGAAATTCGTGGTTTAAGGCCATTTTTTCTGTTTGGTTACTGGGAAAATTTTTTGGATGACAGCTTTTTTGGTCTCTGGGTATCCCCTTTTTCTGTTTGGTGTCTTAGTAACCAAGCAAAGGATTAAGCATTCCCTTCTATGCAAGGAAATGTTTCGTTCATAGCAGACCTGCGATTTTTATTTTATAATATTTTACCGCTTTTGTATTTGTTTGGTTGCTGAGAAAGTTGAGCAAACAAATATCAAATGAAAACTTTAATCCTCCGTTTGGTTTTGGGACCATTGGGTCCGATTATTTTATTAGTTTACATTTATAGGAAATCAAAGATCAATCTTGATATAATTTTGGTCCGCGTTTTTTAAATTATGTATCCAGTTCATTGCACGTTCAGGAATGAAATAAAATTTTGGAGCATTGTATCCCAAAAGCAATCGATTTTTTTCTTATACAGATTTTTACTTGTTTGAATTGCTAATTAAATCATATGTTTTGGCTAATTTTCAGGAATATGTGTACAACAGGCTACAATTCAGGTAAGCGAATCAAATGGATTTTTTATTTTTTTATTTTTTTATTTTTTAAATTTGAAGTGTTTTGTTTGCCAAATAATTTTGAAAGTGTTTGATTTCGGGTTTTACGATTAGGACCAGTTTATGTTTATTGTGAATTTCTTGTTGCAGCTATGGTTGGTACTTCACATTTGTCCAAGGATTTGTGTATCTATTTCTGATTTACCTGCAAGGCTTCACCACCAAGCAAATGGTGAATCCATGGAAGACTTATGTGAAACTTTCTGCTGTGCTTATGGGGTCCCATGGACTTACCAAAGGCTCCTTGGCTTTTCTCAACTATCCGGCACAGCTCATGTTCAAATCGACAAAGGTAAAGACATGAAAATTTATATGGTAATTTGATTTTTCAGTTCAAGCAACTAACTTTAGCTGGATAACCCTTCTATGGGGATAAAATTGAGTGTAAAAAAAGTTGCTTGTTAAGAGGGGCAGATTTGAGATGATTTGAGTTCTTAGCCAAGTAACTATGTAAAAAGATGTCGTTTTTTTTAAGCTAGTTTGTACTTTGAGTAATACAATTGTGGAATTTCCCTATAGTTGATTGCGATCAACTGGAATTGGAAGTGCCGTCTACTGTTGCTCTCGGTTTTCTGATGTTAGGTTCATGATTTTGGTATTTCAGGTTCTGCCTGTGATGGTAATGGGAGCCTTCATACCAGGTTTGAGACGAAAATACCCACCTCACGAATACGTTTCTGCACTCCTTTTGGTGGTGGGTTTGATCCTATTCACCCTAGCAGATGCACAAACATCTCCCAACTTCAGCGTGATTGGTGTTCTGATGGTATCGGGCGCTCTAGTCATGGATTCCTTTTTGGGTAACTTGCAAGAAGCTATCTTTACCATGAATCCCGAAACCACACAGGTGACATTATTTCCTTAGATTCTCTTTGCGGATGTTTAAACGTGAACTCAAAACTTGTTCATGAAGAATATGTGACTTCTCATATAGTTTTGTGCTTTCTTTTACCCTAATCCACAGATGGAGATGCTGTTTTGCTCTACAGTGGTTGGCCTGCCTTTCTTGATTCCACCAATGCTTTTGACAGGGGAATTATTCAAAGCATGGAGCTCATGTTGGCAGGTAACTTGCAATCCGAAAATCCTAAGATTCCACCATGTTACATGCGTCACACAAGCCTCACAATGTCTAACAAATCTTTTTGGAATTATGCAGCATCCATACGTGTATGGTGTGTTAGTCTTCGAAGCCATGGCCACATTTGTCGGCCAAGTCTCCGTCCTTTCCCTCATTGCACTTTTCGGTGCCGCCACCACAGCCATGGTACATTCTTGTTACAAGTCTATTTGTGCCTAGACATCTCAATGTGGTACCATACCTTGTTATAAATATCTTGAAATCACATTTATTTTCAAGTAGCATTTTCAAAGCAAGAGTCTTGTTTCTTAGACAACATTAAATGTCATACGCACAAATACGAACAAACATATAGTACAATATGAACCATATAAATTCCTTTGAAGTATTCTCATTGAATCCCTTGTTTTTATCACAGATCACAACGGCCAGAAAGGCCGTCACATTACTGCTGTCATACTTGATATTCACAAAGCCATTAACTGAAGAGCATGGGACCGGACTTCTGCTCATAGGTATGGGGATCACGCTGAAACTCCTGCCGGAAAATAAACCACACCAGAGAGTTTCAACCTCATCTTCCAAGACAAAAACTTCAAAACCTGCTCCGATCGAAAACGAAAGAATCCGACTAGAAAACGCCGGAGAAAATGAAGAAAATAGTCGGTTGGTCTGAAACACCAGCCTGCTTCAATTGGTTCCTCATTTATCAGCAGCTATTTAGCAAATTTTAGTCATGCCAAATAAGAACATTAGGGATTTTTATGTTTTATTTGTTTTTTTCTTTTTCTTTTTTAACCTCCAGTTTAATTCTTTGTATTGTGTCCTTTGTATTTTAAATTCTTTATATTTGTTGTCAAAGTGTTAGAAGCCCCCACAGTCGCCAGCTTTCTTTTTGTGAATGTTTTGGAATATGAAGCTGAATTTCAGAGCTCGGATAAGTTACTGTTGTTTAGATTATGGCCTTTCAGATTTAGTACAGTTGATAAATTTCCATCTTGTTTACTAATTTATATTGAAAAGTGTAATTTCATTTACTCGTATTGACGCGGAAAGTATAATTGTATACCTATACTTCGAGGTTTTTGACTGTTTAAGTATTGCTATAAACCTAACTGTACTTTGAGTAAACTAATTATAGCTTTGCTCAACATTTGGATGAAAGAATAAATAAAGTTTAACGAAACACTTCTAGTACTGTTCATTTTTAACGAAAATGACATTTTTACTTTAAAAAATCACTCATGATAATATTCACTTACAATACCTTTTTGTTATTTTGATTAAAACTTAAAGTTTTAAAGTCATTTTCATTAGTTTTCCTAAGAATAATAAATCTTTAAAAAAATCGACGTTTGGCCAAGAAACTTAATACAAGGATATATTTACATTGAACAGTTAGTTTGTTATTGAATTGGCTATTAACGATATTCAGAGTTAGGTTGTTATCGAATTGGTTATTAACATTAGGTTGTTTCGAATTGGCTATTAACAATATTTAAACATATGACGTGTAAAGATTAACAAGAATGTTAGATATTTTTTAAGGAATTGTTATTGGCGCTCCAAAAATCTCATTTTACACTCTAAACTTTCTATAATTAGAAGAAAAAAAAAAACACTTGTGAGGAGTGTAGAATGAGATTTTTGAAATGCTAATAGCAGCTCTTTTTTTTTCTTTTTCTTTTTTTAACAAAAAGGGGACTAGCTGGTGGTTTTGCCACGACAGTCCACTCTTCCGGGAGCCAGAAAGACTCACAGAGGCATTTTAGTCTCCCCTGGCCACCATCGTGTGATTCACCAGCGGCAAGAATCGAACGCAAGACGTGTCATGCAGAATTACGAGCCTAAAATTCGTCTTCAACTACTGAGCCATCCTGCGGTAGTAAACGTTAGATATTGTATTTAGTGAAAGAAAACTAGTTTTAGAGAAGTGCAATTCTGGTTTAATGGGTTGACTCTTTGCCTCTTATGGTTATAATAATTTATTTGTACTTTCCGGTAGGCAAGGTAATGCATGAGCTCATAACTTTAAAAATATAGATTAGAGTATTAAACCTCATTGTTATAAAAGAAAATTTATGAAAATGATTTGAAAACTTTAAGTTTTAACGATAAGGACAACATAAATGATAAAGTGAATAGTACTATAATTAACTTTTTAGTATAAAAATATGATTTTTTGTTAAAATGAACAGTACCAATAACTTTTCGTTAAAGTTGTTTTGTTATAATGGTTTGACTAGAGAATATAATTAGCACTTAACTAACTGCCTATGTAGATTGAGCCCATTTTGGGGCATTTCCATTTCCCAATAGATTAGGATAATACCGTTTGCTTTGGATTGCTAAACATAATTAAGTAGGAAAATTGACAAATTAGCTAGCTGTTAGTGCTGATCAGCATGTGATAACTAAAACGACAACGAAGGAAATACATAAAATAAAAATAAATAAATATTTTAATCTTGGAGTTGCGTCGAGAAGACTTCTAAAACAAATGAGAATCCTCTTTGAATTTCTTAAATCATTTTTCATTAGTTTTCTTTTTAATTAGAACTTTAACGAAAAATTTATAGTACTGTTCACTTTAACGAAAACCATATTTTTACACTAAAAAATCGATCATGATACTATTTACTTTACTCTTTATTTTATCTTTATCGTTAAAATTCAAAATTTTCAAATTTGTTTCATTAGTTTTCCTTTCAATAATAAATCATATATTTTAATGCATATTTATTTTGGTCTATTCTTTCACGTTTCCAAAGTTTTCTTTTTCATTTCTTTATTTCTTAAAATATTCAGGTGATGTAATTTTTGAGGCAGACCAAGGCAGACTCGATCGCCACTCATACATACTTGCAACCAAGTGACAGACGTGGCAACGGGTCGAACCACTTGCATGCATGCAGAGTGGCAACCAAGGAAGAAAAAATCGATAATATCGACGATATTTCGTCGATATTATCGTTTTTTGGGAGGTCCGATATTTTTTTAACTATCCAAATGATTTTCGTTAAGATATCAAAATATTATCGATAATATCGATAATATCGCGATATTTTTGAAATTATCGATAATATCGCAATATAATATTCAAAAATACTTAAAAATACTGAAAAATCTCAACACATACTACACTTGATCATAGCCCATAGGCCGAGCAAAACATGCTTTTCTCAGCTTGGGAATGTGGCTTTTATAGGCCTTCTTGCTTGCTCACTGCCCTCGCGTGGGTGATGTGGGACTCGACCTAATGGGAGAGAAAATTGGAAATCCACACCCACTTTAAACGGCCATAACTTTGTCAAAACTCAACAAAATCAAGCAAGACAAAAACGAAAGTTGTAGCCCTCGAAGAGAGGAAGAGAATGATACCTCACACGACGTCTGACTCGTCGTGGTTTGGCCGGAAAATGCCTCGAAAGTCACTGAGGTCGCCGGAAACTGGGTAAGATTCAAATGAGTATAACTTTTTCAATACTCAACGAAATTGAGTGAAACAAAAAGGAAAGTTGTACTACTCGACGAGACGAAGAGATTGATACCTTGCACGCCGGCCAACTCGCCGTGGTTTGGCCGGAAAACCAGTGTCAAATTCAGCACATTATTCTTCATTATTTTATTCACTTCCCTTTTTTTTTTTTTTAATATCCTAAATAAAACCTCCCAATATTGTACTAATTAATTATATATAAATGATTATGGTGTGTTTAAACTTCTTTCATTAATTACTACATATTTTCTACACTCACAATATTTGCCAGCTCGCTATATAATCAACTTAAATCAGTTAAATCCATCATGCAATGCATTTCCTTCCAATTTTTTGTGATAAACTAATAGATAATTGACTAAATAAACATCCTGCAAAGTTTCATTAAAAATTTCCAAGTTTTTCTTACAATTTCCGTGGTTTTCATGTAATTTTTATCGATATCGATATTATCCCGATATTTCCATCGATATTTCCGTGTTTTCGGACTACCGATATTTCCGATATTACCGATATTTTCTTCCTTGGTGGCAACTCACACCCCCTCTCTTTTTTGACTCTCTTTTTCTTTGTTTACCCTTGATTGAGGTATTTAACGTCCCAGCTGAGCTGATGTATGAAAAACACTTGGATTTATAGACAGTAAACAGTAGAAAATGGCCCCCAACAATGGCAGATGCAGATTATAGCCGGCTAATCGGAGCAGACGATAATGTTATCAGTGGAAGTGATGGTGGTAAGAAGAAAAGTGGTATTACTAGTGAGAGACCAAAAGAGCCATGGAAAGGAGAGTAACCAGTGGCGTAACTAAGATTTTTAAATAATGGAGTCATAATATTGACCAAAAAAGCTTCATTTAGCCATTTCATTGAATGCCTGGTACGCATCTATCAATTCTTGCTAACATATGCCGAAAGCTTATACAAACATATGTCGACAACTACTATTATTTGTACAGGCATGTCGAGGGTGGATACAAGATGTTGTGGAGTAATGTTAAAAAATGTCAAGACTTTTCAACGAACGTATTTTCATCGAGCACATGATGCTCACAATAGAGTCACACACAAAAAGAGAAAAGGGAGACAAATATGATAGAAGAAAATAAAAAAAAAGTAGGAAGAGGAGATTGTAGTTTAGTTTGTCTTAATTGTTTATAAGGGTCAAATACAATACACAAACAAATATGCATGAGGTTTTTAAGGTTGTTGAGGTCAAGGACAACCAATGAACTCATGTTGGCTCCACCGCTAAGAATTGCATTTAGGTCTTGATGCCATCATTACCTACTTCTCACTCATTTCTTCCATGAAAAAATTGTAAAAATTATTCCTGAATTTTAACTCAATTGGAGCACTGGTCCCTCAACTAAAAATTCACGATCATTGGTCCCTTAACTTATCAAAACGTGCAGCTATGGTCATTTTTGTCAACTCCGTCAAAATAAGTCATATTGGAAGGATCATTGGTATAGTTGGATTAAAGTTGAACGACCATTTCTCCAATTGACTGTTAAAGTTGAGGGATCATTTCTCCAATTGGGTTAAAGTTAAGAAACCATTGCTACAATTTTTCTCATTTGGTTTTCCATATTTGCCCCTTGATTCAGCTTTATGTATGTGGTACGTGACTCATTTTAAGTGAAATTCTAACGAAGTTGACAAAAATGATCATAGATGCACGCTTTAATAAGTTAAGGAACCAATAATCATTGATTTTTAATTGAGCAACCATTACTCCAATAAAGTCCAAGTTAAATGACTATTGCTATAGTTTCCTCATCTTCCATCTCTGCTAGTCGTATTTCATCCGGTAATCTAATTACTATCTCCTTTGTTTCCATTTCTCCAAGATAATATTTTGCTTAAAGAAAATGTGCAGAATGCTTGGTATGTGGTATATTTTATTAACTCAAGAATTTGCTGTATATTTGCATTGGGATTGTTGTTCGATGAATTGACATTGGATTTGATAAGTTGAATCGTGAAAAAGCGGTCTCATCACGTGTTTTAAGAGTTATGACTTCAAAGAGATTGATAAGAGTGTGATGATAGAGATACATATATAAAAGTGTATACAATTGGTTGTAGCAAAAACTTGGTGTGACCATTTGATTGGGATTAACAATAGTCAATAGGCACACATTCAATTCAATTAACCCACATTTTTGTTAAACAACATATTTAGATTAAGTTACAAGGGAGTGAAGACATAATTGGTTGCAAACTCACAATATTCGAATATAAGACATTTGTGCTTAGGACTAACATATATCAGTTGTCCATTACTTTGAACTAGGTTGTGAACTTTTTTGCAAAATACAATAAATATTTGGTGCACGAGAAAATGATGGCTCACGGAATGCTGCCGCCCAATGAGGCAGAAAAGCCACGGAAAAATGGCCTTGTCACATTTGCCGGCTTCTTTGTGTTTGGCAGTGCTCCTCTCCTATCATTCGTTGTCCTCATTCCGGCCTTCATGCCAGCCTACTTGTACCAACAGCCACCCCAAGCGCGTGGATGACAGTCGTTAGCATTTCATGAAAATTTATACGAAACTATTAACCATAGGGGTTGCAGCAAAATTGCCATAGATTGGTAGTAACCAAAAGAAGTTGGGAAGGAAAACTTTGGTCGCACCCTATTGTATGAGGGAAACATATAACGACTAGCATGCACGAGAAAGAATAATTACAAGCACTAGCCGGTTTGGGATTGCGGCTTCAAAAAGCACTTCTAGCTATGTGCAGAAGTGCTTTTATTATGAACATTCATTGTCCAAATTCACTTCCTAAAGTTGGCAAAGGCTTGCATGATTTTACATAAACAGTCAGTTCCCTTCGCTGAGGGCTAATTGCAGGGCGCATTCTGCTTCCTTGAGGAATAGTCGAGTAAGTTGCTTCTGCCCACGTCTATAGACTATACTAGACCAGACATTTCAACTCGCCGACTTGTGTCGTGCAATGCTGTTCGTCTGTCCACTGCAGCTAGAAAAAGAAACAAGGAAATCCAAGATTAACACAAACACATTGAGTTTCTCTACTGACATTTTTGTTGTTGGAAAGGAGACAATGGACGACAAACTGCACAGACGGAAATACTAGCAAATTTAGTGTAGGCAAAACGCATATGAAGATCACTAATATGTTCGTTTTGGCGAAGATGGTACCTTAAATTGTTCTCATTCTGCTGGGTCGCACTTTCAGTAATATGTTCGTTTTCAAGCAAACTGGTGTCGCAGTCCTCTGTACCAGAAGACTCTTGAAGATCCGTCATCTTTGAGTGTAGGAAATCCGGTTAGGTAACTAACAATACAACTCTTCTGAAAGTTGCATATATATATAGGCATATAGGCATGCGCCTTGACAAGTTAGTCATAATACATTGCTAAATACATTCAATGATGGTTTCTACTCTGTTACCTCATGTTAAGAAGATCAACAAGTATTTGCAAAGCTCCGGAATCACCACAAGTTTCCCATACCGCAGCCTGAACTTCTGAATCAGATGGTTGCCTCCCCTCTCTTGATTGTACAAGCTTTAAGATAAAATAGTTTAATTAGGGTATTAATCAGGAAAACAAATGATTCATAACAGAGGTCTAGGCGCTGTTTCTTAATTTTCAAATGCCTAGGGATTCATTAGGGCGGTGACTAGCCGTGTAGCGCTTAGGTGGGGCGCTAATGCTTTACCATAAACTTAATATTTCTTATGTAAAGAAGGTATATTCTCAGCTATCAAAAACTGAAATGGCGAGGTTTTGTCAGAAAAAAAATGCATAGCTGCAGAGCTGTTACCTCTTCCAGCAGCAATGAAACCTGAAATAGCTCATCCTCCTTCATGGCTATAGTCCTCAAGGCTGTCAAAAAGGTTTCAGGGAAAACCAACCTGCTCGAGTATGATGGCATCTTGCACTGGCCACTCCAACTATAGCTGCAAACATGGTCGAGTTTGCACTTCTCACCTCCTTCAGTATTTGAGTTGCCTACTGCAAAAAAGCCATGATCCAGTAAACTTCTAGGTAACAGACACCTCGTTTCGCCTTTCTGTGAACAACCAGGTTTATAAACAACAACAAAGCCTTAACCCACTAAGTGGGGTCGGTTATATGAATCCTAAAACACCATTGCGCTCGGTTTTGTGCCATGACTTCCGTTAGATCCAGGTTTATGAATAATGAAGCAAAATTTGGGGAAACAAACAAAAAAAGTAAGAAACATTTTTGTTTATGCCCTTAAATTTCCAATCGCATTACTTATTTTATTTCTTAATGAAATTCAGAAACAGACAATAGCAGACCTGTGCTTCGAGAAGCTGTGCTATCGAGTCTGCAAAGGGAACGTTTTGAATGGCCTCCACAGGATAATGGACCTTAATAGATCAAATAGAGTCAAGTTTAAGTTTCTTTGGATTAAATCTAAAATAATATAACCATTGTGAATGAGTCATTTTAATTAAGAAACAAATGAGCATTCAAGACAAGTCCACAAGATATTCCAATCTAGAGGCATTACCATGAGATAGTCATCTGGATTATCATCAAGGACAAAACCATGCAGATAAAGCAGTTCCTGCACAAACACAGAGAATGACTTGGACTCAAAAAGTTCCTGCACAATCTAGAGGCATTACCATGAGAAAGTTAAATTTGTTGGACTCGTAAGCCTAAGTAAGAATGTATGCTCAATGCATGAAAATGTTGACATGCAATGCAATAAGTAGCACATGAAATGAAACATGATTCCAGATTATAAGTTGAGGCAACAATGTGCGAGAACAAAGGCAACCATTTTGACAAAATTATGTTAAGTTACTAGGATGAAGGTCAAGCCTGGTGGCACCTGTTAGGAGGTATACAATAAATACAATGTTAAAAGTAAATTTGGTGTCAGAAACAAACAAAAATATAAGTGACACCAAACAGTACCTCGTTCCCTTTGCTACCATAACTTATGAAAATCTCTGCGTCGATCTGCAAGGGTTGTCCAGCTTTCCAATTGAAGAGACAAAAAAAGGCCCAGCTAATTAGACCAAAGAAAAGAAATGAAAACAAGTGCGGAACAATTCATAGAAACTGTCAAAGTTACATAAACTTGTATGTGATGAGATAAAACTCTACTAATATAAAAAGAGGAGAAGTGAAAACAAGTACTGCGAAAATTCAATAGCAACAGTCAGGGTGAGATAAATTTGTGTGCGATGAAACCAATACAAGATATTATGAGTGTAACAAATTAAGCTGTTGCTTTTCAGCAAGAAAAGGGGAGCAACTGATGTTAAGAGAATACTACCAGAAAGAAGGTACCAAGAATTAGGAACTCCAGTTATCAATCCAGTTTCATCAACTTCCCATGTTGCTGCTGCCTTTATATCTGAAGAGCCACATATTTCAGCTAGTAAGGTTTACAGAATAAAGACTCTCCAAACACTTGATAAACAACCGGCATACCATGGTTGCAAAAGTCAATGCCAGGAACAAGACCCTCCACCCAGACAGTCTCGTTTTGTTTAGGCGGGGATGTCACTTTACTAACTTGAATATCAACCCCTTCAACCTGACATCCTAATTAAAGAAATCACTTATGTTAGAATAAACAGAAACATTTTGTATCAAAAAATACCAAATCAAACACCTAGTACATACTGATGAAGTGTATTGGTGACGTAAAAAAATTGACTTTACCACTTTCATCTCTTCCATTAACCAACTCTTCTTTGCAAATATTTGTAGAAACCTCAGAATTTTTGCCATCTGAAGCGCACTGTCTTCTTGAATTTTGGGAAATACGTACGAATATGGAAGGGGAATGTTTAAAGCACGGGTCCAAAACAGAGAATTTGCCCTAGCATGAAAGCAATTGTAATACATAAGGAACAAAGGTCTAAAGCACCATGAAGACATTATTAAGGAGAGGATTCAATTACAAAAATCATTAGATTAGTCATAAAGATGGTACCTACCAGAGGAAATCTTCAAAGCACATATCTCTGAAAAAGAAGCAACAGGTCTTGTATATGATCAGCAATTAATCATAGTAAATTCTGAGGATGCATATATCTGATTCTAATGTCTATCCTTCTGAATGTTGTTCAACATGTAACTTTACAATTTACATAGCATCTTACAAGAGTATACGCCTCATTCACTAGTAACATAATGACAACTGAAAGCTTAGCACCATGAAAAATTGACAGTCTGCCATCATATACCATTATTCAAGAGTCTGGCCATTAAATAGATGACCAATTCATATGAAAGTAGCACGAGCATGCAGACTAAGACACCGGATTACTCAACAATGAAACAATGAATTCAATAAAGGTCGTACCCAGTGCACAAGGCTCCCGCTTTACGCAGGGTCTGGGAGAGGTGAATGTCGGCTAGCCTTACCCCCATTTATGAAGAGGCTGCTCCCAAGTCTCGAACCCGAGACCTACCGTGGGCGAAGGCACTTGCCATCGCACCAAGTGCGACCTCTAAACAATGAATTCAATGTAACCAAAAAAAAAAAAAAAAAACAAAAAAACAAAAAATACAAAACTTCAGAAGTCCACCAACCGGATAGATTTCATCATAAATTGTGGTCTACAGTCCAAATGTCTTACATAGCCAAATAATGTTTTTGCATTTAACCAAAAACGAAAAATAATGCTTTCACAGGGTTTTAACATCAGCTGTATATTTGTTGATCCAACACTAGTTAGGAAAAAGTCACAAGACTGGGCATGACAAGGACCACAAGAATAAAGGTCGTACCCAGTGCACAAGGCTCCCGCTTTACGCAGGGTCTGGGAGAGGTGAATGTCGGCTAGCCTTACCCCCATTTATGGAGAGGCTGCTCCCAAGTCTCGAACCCGAGACCTACCGCTCATGGGCGAAGGCACTTGCCATCGCACCAAGTGCGACCTCTTAAGCGACAAAAAACCACTTAAGCGACAAAAAACCAACAAGTAAAGTTAAACACATTCAAACACGCAGAATATAGATAAGAATATACAATAAACTAAAATAATTCTGTACATGAACACAAACTAAAATAATTCTGTACATGAACACAAACTCCACTTAAGCGACAAAAACCAACAAGTAAAGTTAAACACATTCAAACACGCAGAATATAGATAAGAATATACACTTCTCTGTAATCACAGGATAAAAGACTAGATTATTTCAACTTTTTACATTTCATATTAACTGATAATTTTGTTTACGTTAAGTACATGAACACAACCAACCACCAGAAAGTTGAAAAATTGAAGTTAACGTAAACAAAGTTGACAAAGTTGAAATATTAAGGCCTAATACATCCGCCTTCAGTTGGGTAAATAGAGATCATGGTCTTAAAGAAGAAAAATTGATAAAAGACATAATTTCTTTTGACTATTTTGGTAAAAGCATCCATTTTAATATGGTTATAGAGGTCCAATCCAGTCATGAATAGCTTGAGTTCAAGCCATGGTGTCTTTCAATCCTGTTTGTTGATTCAAGGAACAAATCAAGCTCAAGCTTGTATCAGTCGCCTAGGCATAAAATTAAGCTGTGAATCACATCAAAACCATCTCCTTAATATTGTACCAAAATTCATGTGATTCCAACTATGAATCAGCTTCTCATAAGTCATTTGAAATAGGATCAATAAGTCCAATCTAAATCGACCATGACTAGAGTTTGAACCCTACTGTTTTGGATATGGATCTGGTTCTCTGATCCACTATTCAAATTCTCAACCAATCATTCATACCGTACGCTACCTCTGTGATTTCTGAATTAAATACTTACAAATTTCATTCCCTTCAGAAATTTATAAGGAAAATATGTACATATACATATGGATTTACACACCTTTCCAAATCCCTATCCAGAGTTAACAGTTTCTTCACCAGAGCCTTCAGTTTGTCATCATATAACGACACCAAGCTTTTCTTCTGTAAGATAAACCTGTCTCTGGTCACATATATTACACGTGGAAGATAAACTACAAACATATTTGACAGAACTATATATCAAAAATGACATCCAGATACTTTGTAAAACCATACAATTTAAACAAAACTCTGGCATGCAGGGAAGCCAAATGAGCTTAGAGTGAAAAAGTTGTGAAACCACACATAGATAATTTTCGGCATGAACATCAATACAAGTTTAACCTAAAAGCCCAACAAATGACAGTATCAATATCACAAAAAATAAACTCCAACCTAAAAGTCTGTGCACACCTGAATACTAGCTAAAAATTAAAAGCATTTTCTGACATCTCATAAGAAAAAATTTCAGAAAGGTATTGTACACTATCTATACCTCATCTTTAGAAGAACCATAACAAACCATCATTGGATGCAGTTTCCCACATCAGATGACATGTACATATACAACCTACATTTGGATATTTAACTATGATGGCCAGATACCCAAAACTCTTTTACCTGCAGTTCCATTGCTCGATACCATGTTGTCCCTTTTAGCTCCAAAAGCTCATCATCAGTAAACCAAAGTGGATTACCAAAAGTGGTCGGAAGCATATCAAGGTACCTGATGTTATCTTCCATTCCACCCAAGAGAAGCTCAGCTACCAAAGAAACATGAAAGTTTGGAATTGATAATTCAACAAAATGAAATCTATACATACGGTTTCCAAGAAGAATTCTTGCGGAGGCGCTCCACTGTGAGATATAAGATCATCAAGAACCTATCATCTACATCTCCTTCTTCAAACATTGCTCTACATTCTGGTCCAAGAAGAGGGTCTTGCAAAACTCTCATTGGAGTTATTGCCAAATCCAGATGAACAACTAATAGAACCCCTGATATTTATTTCCCAAAATGAATCAGAATTATGCTCCAAATGTGAGATTGTTACAACTTCCAACTTAGAATGCCCCACATCATAAAGGAAAAACAGAACATTTCAAACTGGTGTATGAATTTTCGGGATCAACCCCTTACAATGTAGTTTTATTGGGACACATAACAAATTCTATTTATACCCATGGATCTTAATAAGGGGAGGACATGAACAGTTTCGCCGAATAAGGAGGTCAAAGAAATGTAGTAGTCCATAGTACTCAAGCTGCTGAGCAGATTGGAAAAAAAATATTATGACAATCTTCTGCAACTATTATGAACAAATGTAAGTTGTTGTTTAACCAAGTAGTTACGCTAATAAATATATTACAATCATCTTCAATCCTTTCATGATATCTATAAATAATTAGACAAAGAACCAGATAAATCATGAACAATTTACTGTTTAAAACAAAAATGTAAGATGTAAATAACCCATATATTTATATCCAGTTGCTTGAGTTAGTGGCCCTTTAATTCGGGTTAAGAAATTATGTCCATGTTTACTAAACTTATCAAATATCCCAAAATTCGAGCATAAGTTCGAGTTAACAAGGTTTGTCCAACCCAAGAAACCCATAAAATCGAGTTCTCTGGTTTATTTTCCCATATGGTTTTCAAAGAATGCAGCCTTTTGACACTCAAAACATGATAAACAAAAACCCAATAATTTAAGAGTAAAAGGAAGAGGTGGGTTACCATCAGAAACATCATTAGCCGAAAAAATGCCAAAACCTTTGTTGGAATCGGAGTATTTGATTTTGCAGCCGTGTAGCTCCGCTCCATTAACCTGAATTCAGAAACCCAAATGATCGAAAACAAAAACGCAGTTGCACTATTTGATTAGTGAAAGATTTTATACAGAAAAATGTAAAAACCTGTAACCACTGGAGGTATCGCTCGAGCTTGGCCTCTTCCTGTGAGCTCGCCATTGCTGTATATGTTAATGAGAGAGAGAGAGGGAGAGTGAGGGGTTTAGCAAATACCAGCTTCAAGTGTTCCAGCAGGATACTCGCCGGATCCTCATGCATTCTCCATTCACATCCTAGTCAAAAATCATTGTTAAAATTTTTATTTAAAATTGAATATCAACAATACTTTAATAAAAAATAATCGCATAATATAAAATAAACAAATATAATTGAAAAGTCCAAAATCCTCCCAAAGAGCATAGAGCGAGGATCCTCTCTTTCAGTATCGTACGTCTACAAGGAAAGGGCTTAGGCCATTTCTATTTGAGGATTAAAATCCATAAGTCAAAAGACTCAAAAATGGCCGGATTTATCAAAAGCTCATCCCTAACTCTATGAAGCCCACTGCCGTTCAGTACCACTCTTTAGTAGTATTTATTTTCATTTATAAGTTAAAGGTTTTAAATTCTATATTTTTTAAAAGGTAATTTGAATTATATTATTGCTAATTTATTGTGATGTTAAACCCACCCCTCCTTCGTAGATAATATCATTTGTCAGGTCTTCCAATTGAAGAATATGAGCATAACCTGATATTGTTCATTAAAAATAATTTTTTGGCTTTTTCGGCTGAAGATGGCGGTGCATGTGATGTCTACCAATTTTGTCTACAAACTCAATCCTCTAAAAATTATCTTTAGAAAAACTGAATGAAGTGAATAAAAAAAAATTATAAGGACTTAAAGAAAAATTTATGAAGAGGGAAAAACGATTTTTCTTTTGTTTTTTTTGAAAGCGAGGAAAAACGGAATTATTTGTGGTGGTTTCCAAAATATACAAATCCAAGGGTCAGGATTAGTTGCGTAAGAAAAACATATAACGGAGGGTCAGGATTAGCTGCCAGATCCCGCGTCCCAGTACATTTTATCTGGCGCGAGTAGGATACTCCAACCTACGATAAGTATATAAAGGCAGCTACAGGCCCAGTGTGATCATATTTCATCAATTCTCTCCGTCTCTCTGCGATCAAACTTCTCATAAAATTAGGGTTTCAATCGCTAACTATTCACATTCTCTCCATCTCTCTGCGATCGCTCGTCGACTTCGATTGACTGGGCATTGGAAACAGTTTACACGATACTCGAATCGCTTCAAGCCTTCAGGCTTTCGGCTAATCGAATCGATCATCGATTACTTCTCTTCTCTCAGGTTTGCTTCTTCTCCGTACGCACGTCTCTGCATCGCGTAATTACATCTAGGGTTTTGTTCTTTACACGACGTTAACGGATACCCCAGGAGGCCATCTAGGGATTTTTTTAGCGGAACGCATTTATCGTAAGGATGATGATGGGTTTTCTGTCTGGGTTTGATTGTCGCTCAGGATGCAAATTTAAGGTTTCGTTTTTCAGATTACTTATATTTTTATTTAGAATTCGCTCAGGAATCGGCGACTGATTAGATTGCAAAGTTTTCGAATTTCTTCAAAGGATTTAAAGAATTTGACCTTGAGTTTCTCGATTCTTAGAGCGTGATCGTACTAAGGAGTTGATTCTCAATCAGGCTGCAAATCTAGGGTTTTGATTTTCGGCTTACTTTTGTTTTTATTTAGAATTCGCCCAGGAGTTGGCGGCTGATTAGATTGAAAAGTTTTCGTTTTTGGTTCAGTGATTTGAATTAAAGAATCCGACATTGATAGTTTCTCGATTCCTAGAGCGTGTTTGTACTACATCCATTCAGATTTCAAGGCTTACTGGGTTTCATTTAATTTTCCGGTTATTTGAAGAAAGGAGGACATATTAGAATGTGAGAATTGGGGTTCTGTTGATACTTGATATTTAGGGTTTCTGTTTGGGTGGGTCACTTTTAAGCTGTCTGCCGGCAATCTCTCATTGGTACTAAATTTGTGTTTATAGTATGGCCACTAAGGCATTAAGGAAGCCCGCAAATAGACCAGAAAGATCAGCGTATAGTCGACCAGTAGGAGGACCTTCAAAATCTGTTTGCATTTATTGGGCGGCTGGAAGATGCACTAAGGAATCCTGTAGGTTTTTGCACCCGGGTGCACCAGAGTCATCCATGAACCTTCACATTTCAAAACAGAAGGCTCTTGTTTGGACAAAGGAGGAAACTGCTACCGGAAAGGGCAATGCATACAATGCTCCTCAGAAAGACAATGCTGCTCAGAAAGGCAATGCATACAATGCTCATCAGAAAAGCATTGCGGCTCAGAAAGGCAATGCTACTCAGAAGAGCAATCCTGGGCCGACAAGCAATGCTACTCAGACAAGCAATGCTATTCAGAAATCCCAAGTCTGCAAGTACTGGGTAGATGGGAATTGTGTGAAAGGTGATCGATGCCTGTATTTGCACAAGTGGTTTAGTGGAAAGGGGTTCTCAATGTTGGCAAAACTCCAAGGGCACAAGAAGGTACTTCTATTAAACAAATATGTTGTCGTTTTAAATTTGTTCTATTCTGTCTTCTTTGAACGGGAAACTAGAAGAAGCTGATGAGTTGAGAAGACAATATAATTTTGGCTATTACTTGTTTTACAGTTTTACTCAAGCTCGTGTATTTTGTGTTAGTTATTGGTCTTCCAAAATTATAATTTATATATTTCCAAACACAATTGTTTATGGAAAGATTAAACTTATATAGAGTAATTTTATATTCTAAAAAGCAAATTTTGCTTACCTTCTATTTCCACTTCTATAGAGCACTAATAGGTATATGTCGTTCTTCTTAATTTGTGTGTTTGGACGGTCATTCTAATGGTGAAATATATGTCAACAGGCCGTCACTGGTATTGCACTTCCTGAAAGATCTAACAAGCTTTATTCTGCTGATAAAGACGGAGCAGCCAGAGTTTGGGACTGCTATAATGGTCAGTGTGACCGTGTTGTGAACCTCAGTGATGAAGCAGGTTGTTTAGTTAGTGAAGGACCATGGATTTTCATTGGCGTTCCAAATCTTGTTAAGGTATTTTAGCATGTTAATTTCATTGTTATACAGTTGTGTATTCTTTTTGTTGCTTGGTTTCTTCAATATGTTTATGCTCATTGTGCTTGATGTTGCAGGCATGGAACATTGAATCAAATGTGGAATTCAATCTGGATGGACCTGCAGGCCAAGTGCATGCTATTGTGGTTGGTAAAGAAATGCTTTTTGCTGGGGCACAGGTAGAGAACCTAACAATTGGATATTTCTTCATCCACTTATTCATAGTTCATAAGTTTCAAATGATTTATCTGTTTCCTTATATACTGCAGGATGGTGTTATATATGTGTGGAAAGGCTGTCCCCAAACAAATTCGTTTGTTCCTGCAGCAACTCTGAAAGGCCACACTGGTCCTGTTGTATGTTTAATTGTTGGGGCAAACAGGCTGTACTCGGGATCTGTGGACCATACAATCAGGGTAAGTTTGTAGAATTTATTGTAATATATGCTGTTGGGATATTACTTAATGCAGTGTAGCCAAAACCCTTATTTTGTAGTGCTTCTGTGTTCAGTGTCATATAGGGTAATTTACTGTGATTTTTCTTTGTTTCAGGTTTGGGATCTTGATACTTTACAGTGTGTTATGACACTAAAAGGGCATTCTGGTGTGGTGATGTCTCTTATTTGCTGGGATAAATTTTTGCTCTCGTGTTCATTGGACTGCACAATAAAGGTGTGGGCAGCCATTGAACAAGGCAGCTTGGAAGTGACCTACACCCACAGTGAGGAGCATGTATGTTATTCTATCTTTAATCCTTTTCCATGTTGTTATGTACTTTCAGTTATTGTAGTGTTCTAGAGTGTTAGTTTTCACGGTTCAAAGTAATATTCTTGCATTAAGTTGTGCAATTTGTATTACTGTCTGATAAAGTCTTGTTGTATACTTGATAGTGGTGTGCTCAATTTCCATTTTTTGCACAAACCAAATCTTATGATGCTATTCTTCATGCAACAGGGTGTCCTTGATCTTGCTGGAATGACAGACCCGGAAACGAAGCCAATCTTGCTTTGTTCTTGCAATGATAATTCTGTTCGATTATTGGAGCTGCCATCGTAAGTCCACAGTGCCTGATACTAAACGCTCTGATTCTTTGTTTGAAGTTCCAAAGCTTCTCACTTTATGATTTGCTTTTACAGATTTTCTGAAAGGGGCAGATTATTTGCAAAACGAGAAATTCGGAAGATTGGGGTAGGACCTGGAGGATTATTCTTCAGCGGGGATGCAACGGGTCTTGTTTCTGTTTGGAAGTGGATGGAGCCTTACAACAAAGTTGAGTCTTCATGAGTTACTCCACTCCCTGACACTTCCGTATATTTTTTTGAGTCGGACATGATTCTTTTGGTTTGCAAGAGCCATTGCTGTGATGGCCGATGAGCATTCATCTGAAGTTGAAGATCCATTCATGCATTCAGATTAGGTTTGTTCATTGCTCTAGGGCTCAATTTTTCATATACGATTCCTCTAATATGTTTGATTGTACAGTGTAATGAACAATGAATTTCGTCGATGTAAAGTATGAATCATTATTATATAGATTACATTCATCAGAAATACAGTCGTTCAGAGTTGCCTCTATTAGTAAACTGAAATTCTTTCATTCTATTGGAACCAAAAAGGGTGTGGGGGTTTTGGAATGGAAGTGCATGGATTGAACTTATTTTCTTTTTTATTTGGATGAGGGAAATTTGTCTAACAGAAGACAGACGTTCTAGGATTCATATAGCTGCTCATTACTTAGTGGGATAAGACTTTCTTATTATTGTTGTATTTGGATGAGGGAAGTTTGAACTTGGGACCCGTCTAGCAAAGCGGTGAAATTAAGGGGATGCTTGGTATCCTTCTTGGATTCAATTTTACTTTTCAAAAAGAAAGAAAGAAAAAAACCTCGAGATTTAAACCATCCACATGAACGTAAATTTATATTTATACGAGTGATACATCTAAAATATGGCCTCAGAAATGATTGTGAGCCTGTTCAAATGTGAGACCAAATTACAATAGGAACCATATGATTTTTCCACAAAAAGTAGAAACAGAATAGCCTAGCAGCTGTTGCAGCGTAGATCACCGTCTCCACCTCCATATGAGGAATAGAACGACGACTGTCAGAATCATGCCTGCGTACTTGATCCACTGATCAACACGGTTGCGCCTCTCAATGAGCTTCAATACAGAGTTGGAAAGACCCACTGTGTTCAGGACATCCAGTGCTTTTCGTTGTGCTCTCTGAAACAAGTTAGTAGATGATTCAGCATCATTTTAACAAGCATTAGTAGCAATAACATGTTATGCATCACTAACTGTTATGTATCAAACAGATTATATAGCTATCGGCCTGTTTAACTTCTTTTAATTTGCTATGACTAATCTTCAGTGTGCTACAAAAAGTTAATGGCAATTGTAAATTCAACCATCATCAACACACCAAAGTTCCCGAGATAAAAGGTTTAAACCACCTGAATTCAAGAACAAAGCCAGATCTTCTCTTGCAAAACTGGGGATGTGCTATATCAAAGTATTATTTTTGTTGTTGTTCAGTTTTATTTGAGGCATTTTTGGATTCTAAAATCAACACAAATGCATCAAACCGTCCAAGGTAATGACGTTAAGCCACCTGAGTTCTCTTGTTACAATCCAACATGCGTTTTATCCTATATCAGGAAGGGCTATATCAGAGTACTCTCTGTATGGGTATGCGGGGGAAGATAATCACATCTAGAATTGACTAGTTTGAATTCATTCACTAACAAATGAATCATACAATAGAGTGTTTCAGGTAGAACTTCAATACAAGGATATTCATGATAGTTGGAGACTGATTACTTCTGCCAATACATGGAAAGAATAAGAATATTGGTTCTAGTTAGATCCTTGTTTAAGTTTCCTATTCTGTCTACTTCCTCTCTAATTCTCTCTTATCCTGCATCACATATGCTCATCTCAAATGTTAACTCAACCTATTCGTTTATAGAACTACTATGTGCACAAAATATCAAAGAAGAGCTACCAATTTTCTTGTCCTTTACTAGTTAAAATTTGCTATAAAACCTGAGTAAGTACTCCAATGAACGTTTTAAATTCAACAAAAATGATATAGACAAAGCCACAGTTTCACCATTGCTTTTTTTCGATAATCATGAAAGTTGAGGTGCATAACGGTGAGCACAAATAGGGTGATACCTTTAGAAATTCCCTCTGTTCTGCATATTTTCTAAGAATAGCTTCCCCAGTAGCATTGGTTTCTTCAAGCATGCGAGCAGAGTTACGAACTGAGTCCCTTGCTTGCGCCTCCTCGTCGAAGATTCTCATAACATGAGCACCATCCCCATTCTACATCACAATAACATAGGCAGATATAAAACAAAAGGCATACATGATACTGAAGCAGTAAACAAAATGTTAAAAGGGATTTCGGGTTTAATACAGCTCTTCCAAGCAACTCTGCCCTCTCTCTCGCTTCTGTCGCCCTCTTCTGATTCCTCGCATCATACCTATCCAAACTATCTTTCAAGGACTGAGCCTCTTCCGCTATTTGTTCCACTTTTCTGCATAACAAAAAGCAAATCAGGATCCAGTTCAACAAACCCAATCACAATTACAACCACCATATACAAAATTGACAAAATCCCACCACAATGTTCAATGAATTAATGAGCAAAATGCCCCAATTCCAATTACAATGTCCAAAATAACAAAAACCCAACTCAAAGATCATGGTAATAAACGGAATTAAAAAAAAAAGTCGAATTCCAATCACAATATGCGAAAATGGCAAAAAACCACATCAAGGTTCAAGGGATCAATGCAAGAAAACCAACCTTTTCCAGAGATCGCGTTGAGATTTGGCACCCACAGATCGCCAGAGTCGGTCCATCTCGGCGCAGAGGGATTGGATCTGAGAGATATCTCTTTTGACGGAGGTAGAAAGGTCCGGGGAGTCGATGCCGCCACCTGCGTGCTCCAACCTCTCCAGCCTCTCGAGGCCGTCTCTTGTTCTGAGCAACACTTTCTTGGCGCTCTGGTATATCTCCGATAACGTCCCTCCTCCAAGTTCCACCGACAATGCCATTGCAACTGCGATTGCGATTGCGAATTCCCCTCTTTCTTTTTCTTTCGGTGTTTCGGCACCGAACTGAATTTGATTGAATTTCGAATGATTTTGGTCGCAACTTAATCCAGGGGTAGACCAGAAGAAGAAAACAGAAAAAGGTAATGGTGGCCATGGGCTTAAAAAGAACACCAAATCAATCTGGGCTGAAACCCAAGCCTAGTTTGTCAAGTCCACTTAGGCCCAAATAATTTATTTTGGATTTGAATCCGGTTGTAGTGGCTGAAGGACGAAGACCATAACCATCCAGACAATCCATCATTTGCTCCAAAGAATTTGAACTCAGCTTCTCAGATTTGCGAGATACTGAGTAAATTAAAAAGAACTCAAGACGATACCCCTTAGTGTAAATATATCTTATTTTAAAAAAAATAAAAAGAAAAAGAAAAACTTAGGGTTTATTGCTTTTTGACATAAAAATTTCTTATCAATGTGTTTTGCAAAAAAATTTAGAACTGTTTTTAGGTTATGAAAGAGCTTTATGGAGAATCGCTATCAGATACTTCTTCATGAAACACTTTCAGATACAATTGTTTAGGGAACACTTGGGTTTGTAAATAAAAATGTTAACGTGGTTATAATAAAAACACTATCCACCAAAACAATCCATCATTTGCACTAAAGGCATTTTTTTATTTATGCTCATCTATATTGAGGGGATGAGGGTTTGATCCAGATACAATGGGTAAAAGAAGAAGACCCTAACTGTTGGAGTAATTATGTTTTTATTTAATAATATATATGTTTATATGGTTTTGATTTGTTTTATTAGAAATATTAAATATATTTATAACTGTCATTAGAAGTAATTTCCATTCTTAATTATATAGGAGACGTAAGGAAGTTTCTTACTTCAACAAATTTGAAATGCTTTCTCTGAATAGAGAAGGTGGTCACGTCCACCTCCATATGTAATCTATCCGTTTTGATTCTTTACGTTTTCGTTTATTCCGGATTTCTAGCCTCTAATTTATTAATCCTTCAACGTCTATTTCTTTACTTTTGTATATAAATATAAGTCCTAAGTATCAATGAAAAATATAGAGAAAACTATAAACTGTTATATAATTTTTGAAATTAAGTTTTGAGAGCAACATACTGAAAGGGTGCAAGTTTGAAGGTTCTTCCATTGTGCAAGGAAGAACCTTATCATAAGAAGGTTCTGGGCTGTTTTATCCTGGGGACGACGTGGTGTTTGTGAACTGCTTGCACACTTTGGGCAGAACCGCGAAACGTCTTAAAGAGAGCAACTTAGTCCACGACTCATCCCAAGAATCATTCACCACTCAAGGCTTTTACATTTTTTTTCAGGTAACTTCGTTCCTTTCCATTTCAATTTATAACAATTTTAAGACGTTATTCAATCTGCTATGCATTATAAGGCAAGCTCTGTTTCTCAGGCAAATCTTGTTGAAAAGCAACTGATTGCAATGATATCAGAAATCAACGTAATTGATGAATCTGATGGATGGTGGGTGGACACTGGCGCTTCTCGCCATGTTTGCTTTGATCGTTCCCTTTTCAAGACCTATTATGTGGCTGAGGGAAGGAAGATGTTGTTGGGTGATTCACACTCAACTGATGTTGCTGGTACTGGAGAGGTGGAGCTGAGGTTCACCTTTGGAAAAACCATGATACTAAAAGATGTGATGCACGCTCCAGCGATAAGGAAGAATCTGGTCTCAGGCTTTCTTCTCAACAAGGCTGGATTCACTCAAACCTTTGGAGCAAATACGTATACTCTCACTAAAAATGGGGTTTTTGTGGGAAAGGGATTTGCTACTGATGGGATGTTTAAATTGAATGTTGATGAAATGTCTACTTCTACTTATATATTGTCTTCTTTTAATACTTGGCATGCTAGACTTTGTCATGTCAACAAACGCTTGGTTAAGAACATGAGTAACTTAGGTTTTTTACCTAACTTATCATTGAATGATTTTGAAAAATGTGAATATTGTAGTCAAGCTAAAATTACTAGAACTTCGGATAAATCTGTCAATAGAGAATCTGAACCACTTGACTTAATTCATTCCGATATATGCGAATTTGATAGAGTGTTAACTAGAAATGGACAACGTTATTTTATTACCTTTATTGATGATTGTTCGAATTACTGTTTCGTCTATCTTATGAAAAATAAAAGTGAAGCTATTGACATGTTCAAAACTTTCATGACTGAAGTTGAAAATCAATTTAATCGTAAGATTAAAAGATTTCGTAGTGATAGAGGACAAGAATATGAATCTACTGAATTTGTTAATTTGTTTAAGTCTCATGGAATTATTCATGAAACTACTGCTCCTTATTCTCCTGAAATGAATGGTAAAGAGGAAAGAAAAAATCGAACTCTTTGTGAATTAACTGTTGCTACTTTGCTTAGTTCTGGAGCTGCTTCTTATTGGTGGGGTGAAATTGTGTTGACTGTTTGTTATGTGTTAAATAGAATTCCTAATTCAAAAATGAATATTTCTCCTTATGAAATTTGGAAAAATAAGAAACCAAATGTGTTGTGTTTTAGAACTTGGGGTTGTTTAGCTTATGTTCGCAAACCTGATCCAAAAAGATCGAAATAGGCTAGTAGAGCATATGATGTGTTTTTATTGGTTATGCATGTAATAGCAAAGCATATAGATTTTATGATTTGAAAAATCATGTCATAATTGAGTCACTTAATGCTGATTTTTATGAGAATAAATTTCCTTTTAATCTTCGAAATAGTGGGGGTTCTAATTCTTCTAAAACTTATGAACCTACTATTGTAGAACATAGTCAATCTGCATTAGAACCTAGGAAAAGTAAAAGAACTCGAATAACTAAAGATTTTGGGCCTGATTTTCATGTATATAACTTACAAGAAGATCCTAATACAATTTAAGAAGCTTTAACTTCTTTAGATGCAGATTTATGGCAAGAAGCCATAAATGATGAAATTGACTCCTTGAAGTCAAATCAAACTTGGCATTTGGTGGATCTTCCACTGGGTTGCAAAACAATAGGTTGCAAATGGATTCTTAAAAGAAAATTAAAAACCTGACGATTCAATTGAAAAATTTAAAGCCCGACTTGTTGCCAAAGGCTATAGACAAAGAGAAAATATAGATTTCTTTGATACTTATTCACCTGTGACCAGAATAACTTCTATTCGTGTATTGTTTGCTTTAGCTTCTATTCATGACCTTGTTGTGCACCAAATGGATGTTAAAACAGCTTTCTTAAATGGTGAATTAGAGGAAGAATTATATATGGATCAACCAGAGGGTTTTATTATTCCAGGACAAGAAAATAAAGTTTGCAAGTTAGATAAGTCACTTTATGGATTGAAACAGGCTCCTAAACAATGGCATGCAAAATTTGATAGTTTGGTTACTTCGAATGGTTTTAAAATAAATGAAAGTGACAAATGCATCTATTATAAGTCTGAAATTAATATATGCACTATTATATGCCTATATGTGGATGATTTGCTTATTTTTTGTTCGAATATTCATGTTGTGAATAATGTCAAAACTTTGTTATGTGCTACTTTTGATATGAAAGACTTGGGTGAAGCTAGTGTAATACTTGGTTTGAAAATAACTAGGTCCGAACAAGGGTTTTCTTTAGATCAATCTCACTACATAGAAAAACTTTTAAGACAATATAACTATTTTGATTGTAAACCAGCATGTACTCCTTATGATCCTAGTGTAAAATTGTTCAAGAACACTGGTGACAGTGTTAAACAATCTGAATATGCGAGTATTATTGGTAGCCTTCGTTATGCTACTGATTGCACTAGGCTTGATATATCTTATGCCGTAGGAGTTTTATGCAGGTTTACTAGTAAACCCAGTTTGGAGCATTGGCATGCTATAGAGAGGCTTATGAGATACCTTAGAAGGATGATGAATTTCAAATTATATTATGAGAAGTTTCATGCTGTCCTAGAAGGTTACAGCGACGCTGATTGGAATACCATTTCAGATGACTCTAAAGCCACTAGTGGATATATTTTTAGTATTGGTGGCGGGGTTATGTCATGGAAGTTGAAGAAACAGACTATCTTGGCTCGGTCTACTATGGAGTCAGAATTAATAGCGTTAGCTACGGCAAGCGAAGAAGCAGGATGGTTGAGAAACCTGCTATCAGATACCCCTTTATGGGAGAAACTGATTCCAGTAGTTTTGATCCATTGTGATAGCACAACGGCAATAGCTAAAGTGAAAAATCATTATTATAATGGGAAAAGGCGACAAATACGTCGTAAGCACAACACTGTAAGAGATTACCTCTCTAAAGGAGCTGTAAGAGTGGATCATATACGGTCTGAAGAAAACTTAGCTGATCCTTTGATGAAAGGACTAGCGCGAGAAAAGGTTTGGAAAATCTCGAAAGGGATGGGACTAAAGCCCTCAGAAAATTGAGTCATTTGTGATAGCAACCCAACCTATAGACTGGAGATCCTAAGAAATAGGTTTAAAGGGTAATAACAAGTCACAAGTGATATGAGTGAAGTCTTACTAATTTTAATTTGGAATATTATTCCAAGTCCATCCCTAAGAAGCATGGCATCCTGAAGCGTTTTTAGGTTGAGATTTTTTCTCTTAGTAAGGTCTATACTCTATGTTGAGTGGGATATCTAGCTACAGAATATTCTTGATAGTCTTACCTATGTGAATGTGGAAGTGAGGCCGCTTCCTATGAAATCTTGGGCAAGTTTCTAGAGTGTTCACTATACTGGGATACAAGCACATGGCCGTAATGTGCTGGCTTTTTGAATTTCACCTTAATAAAGTTATGAGTGTGGTGTTGTCAGAGATAGAGTTCAAAACTATAAGTTACTCTAGTATAATCTGTATCACTAACACTATGTACAGGTTCAAGTTGAGAAACACCTTTATTTATGCATAGCTTTATGATATGTTGCTTGATATACATTTTTTAAATAAAAACAAGTGGGGGATTATTGGAGTAATTATGTTTTTATTTAATAATATATATGTTTATATGGTTTTGATTTGTTTTATTAGAAATATTAAATATATTTATAACTGTCATTAGAAGTAATTTCCATTCTTAA